TTCCATTAGGGGGGTCCACGTTTCACAAGCGAAGAGAAGGGAGGGAATGACCGTGGCCGAGAAGACCATACAGACACACACACTCACACACAAACAGACACTCACACTCACACACATACAGACACACACACGCACACACAGACAAGGATGGACCCCAGACGCCCACCTCCATTGGTGGGTGGCTCTGAGTGGCATCTCCAAATGTATGCCACATCCGAGCCCTTCCTTCCTGGGTGAGGCTGGTGCGATGTGATGATGGCTTTTTCCTTGTGTTTTGTTTAAAATAATGTCTGAGCTCTGGCTCAAAAGGCCCAAGCGGCCAGCAACAAACAGCACTCTTGAAGCTGCATTAGATACGAGTAGACCCAATTCTTTAATTGAGAAAGGTTATTGGAAGAAAGTGTAAAAAGAGATGATGGAAGAGATATTTCAAATCGGAGCAGTGCGAGGGGAAGGAGCAGAAAGAGAGGTGTTGTGGCCAGCAGTATGGTGGGTGGGTGAGTTATGGGTGAGTTATTATGACCCTCAAGTGTGGTGAGTGAATGAGTGTGTGTGTTAGTGAGTTATGGTGACCCGCAGTGTGGTGAGTGAATGGGTGATTGGTTGAGTGAGTGGGTGAGTGAGTTAGCTATTGTGACTATTTACTTATAACAATTTTTTCTTATTTTACCAGGTAAGGCCCACTGAGCTATACAGCTCTTGTTCAGAAGCGATCTGGCCGCAAATAATAGCCCAATGAAGTGGCTTATCATGTAGAAATGTATAGCTGCCAAATGTTCTAATTGCGTGATGTTGATTTTAAATGTGGAGGGAAAAACCGGAGATGCCGGAGGAAAATCCAAGCGACACGGGGAGAGAGACACGCAAACTCCAAATATACAACAGGCGTCAGGGTCGAGATCGAACCCATGATCTCCTGTATACCAGGCGACGTAGTTAAGATCTCGCCAGTGTAATGTAGTGAATGTGCAAGTATTTATTTATTGTTACCTGCAGTTTGGTGAGTGTGTGATTGGGTGAGTGAGTAGGTGAGCGAGGCATTGTCACCTGCAGTGCGGTGGTGTTTGCTGGACAAAAGCTATCAACACACGGGCGGAGGACTCACTGAGTGGAGTTTGCGGCGAGCGGTAAACCATGGCAGTAGCGACAGAAGAGCGACAAGCAGGCGACTGACCACCGCGGTGCATCGCGGCTGTACGAGGGAGTGACCGCCGTGAATCTGTGAGTGGAGTTCCGCGACGGAACGTGAAGCATTGTAGCAGCGATAGCAGAGCGATAGGGGGGGGGTGGGTGGGTAAGGAGACGCTGTGGGGGGTAGGGGATGTGGGGGGTGGTGGGGGGTAGGTGGGGGGGGGTAGGTGGGGGTAAGGGAGGTGGGGTAGTGGGGGGTAGGGAAGGCGGGGGTAGTGGGGGGAGTTGGGGGGTAGGGGAGATGGGGGGTAGGGAAGGTGGGGGGCAGTGGGGGGTAGGGAAGGTGGGGGGTAAGGGAGGTGGGCGGGGGGTGGGGGGTAGTGGGGGTAGGGGAAGTGGGCGGGAGGTGGGGGGTAGGGAAGGTGGGGGGTAGGGGAGGCGGGGGTAGTGGGGGTAGGGGAGGTGGGGGGTAGGGGAGGTGGGGGGTAGTGGGGGTAGGGGAGGTGGGGGGGTCGGGGAGGTGGGGGGTAGTTGGGGGTAGGGGAGGTGGGCGGGAGGTGGGGGGTCGAGGGGGTGGGGGGTAGTGGGAGGTAGGGAGATGGGGGTAGTGGGGGGTAGGGGAGATGGGAAGTAGTGGGGGGTAGGGGAGGTGGGGGGGGGGTAGTGGGGGGTAGGGGAGGTGGGGGGGGTAGTGGGGGGTAGGGGAGATGGGGAGTAGTGGGGGGTAGGGGAGGTGGGGGGTAGTGGGGGGTAGGGGAGATGGGGGTAGTGGGGGGTAGGGGAGGTGGGGGGGTAGTGGGGGGTAGGGGAGATGGGGAGTAGTGGGGGGTAGGGGAGGTGGGGGGGGTAGTGGGGGGTAGGGGAGGTGGGGACGCACGCGCGCGGAATCCGCCCGCGCGGCGCACGTGACCCGCGCCGCCTCGGAACGCGCGCGCGCGCCGCCCGTGTGTTGACGCCGTCTCCATGGCGACGGCGTCAACAGCGCGGCTCCTGGGAGAGCGCGCGAGCTCCACTGTACCCCCGCGTGCACACACAGAGACACACAGACACAGGCACAGACACACACACAGAGAGAGACACACAGAGACACAGAGACACACAGACACACAGACACAGGCACAGACACACACACACAGAGAGACACACAGAGACACAGAGACACGCACAGACACACAGACACACAAACACACACAGACACAGACACACGTACAGACACACATAGACACACGTATAGACACACAGACACACGCACAGACACACAGAGACACACGTGCAGACACACAGACGTAGACACGCACAGACAAAGATACACGTACTGTAACACAGAGAGACACACGGAGAAACACGCACACACAGACAGATACACACACACGGAGAGACACAGACACGCTAACAGACACACAGACACGCTAACAGACACACGGAGAAACACGCACACACAGACAGAGACACATACACGGAGAGACACAGACACGCTAACAGACACACAGACACGATAACAGACACACAGAGAAACACGCACACACAGACAGATACACACACACGGAGAGACACAGACACGCTAACAGACACACAGACACAGACACGCACACACAGACACACAGAGACACACGTACAGACACATAGACACAGACACGCTAACAGACACACGGAGAAACACGCACACACAGACACAGACACGCTAACAGACACACACACAGACACAGACACGCTAACAGACACACAGAGAAACACGCACACACAGACAGATACACATACACACAGAGACACAGACACGCACACACAGACACACAGAGAAACACAGACACACACAGACAGAGACACATACAAGGAGAGACACAGACACGCTAACAGACACACAGAGAAACACAGACACACACACAGACACAGACACACACACAGAGAGACACAGACACGCTAACAGACACAAAGACAAAGATAACCCGTATAGCCATTAACAAACTGTTGGGGCAAGTGCTGTTAGCAAACACCTTTTAAGGCCGGCAGGGCGCACGAGGGTTGGTAATGGTGAGGTCAGAAACCACGCCCGGCCGCCTTTGTTTCCCCAGTGCTGATATTTGACACGTTTGTGTCCTCGATGTCTACTTATTGGGGAGACAAAGGGCAGCCGTGCGTGGGTGCTGACCGCCCTCTTCGTTCAAAGATGGTTCACGAACAGCACTTGCACCAATGTTGTGTTAAAGTTGTACGGGAGATCTTTGTCTTTGTTGTCAGCTTCGATTTGCGCACACACGCACACACGCGCGCATGCGTTGACAACTCAGGGTCTCGTCGTGAGCCGGATTGACCCCAGTAAGGTCACGGGACAATGACATTGTCTGGCCGATCTTAGATCTTCGAGGAATAACAACACAATGCGTGAGAATGCGTGCACGGGGTCAACCGATTACAAACTCACAAGACCCACCGTTGATATTCAAAGTCAAACAATGGATTCAACATTCGTTATATCAATAATAATAATAATCATCCGATTTCTCTTCAAGATCAATATTACATCGTTGGATACGAGATGCTTCGGTTGCTTGTTCGGACAATACATTCATGCGTGCGTGTACAGTATGTGCACGTGTATACATGCATATTGTGTGTAGTTATGTAGAAACAAAAAGACAAAGATCCCCCAGGTGTAGCCTTAACAGACTGTAGGGGCAAGTGCTGTTTCCGGGCACCTACACACACGAGGGGGGTGGGTGGCCAGCACCCAGCCCGACCGCCTTTGTCTCCCCAGTGGCGATGTCTACACACCACACTTAAGTACTCATTTGAGGCTGAGTGGACCTAGGGGAGGGCCCAAGACCGATCCAGATAATCGTCACCGGTGTTGGTCGTGAGCGGGAACCGAACTCGGGTCGCCGGGTTCGTAGCGCAGCGTAGCGCTAACCACTGCGCCACCGCTCCCCGGTTGTATACACACACACACTGAAGTGGTATGGGGGGTGTGTGTGTGTGTGTTTGTGTGTGTGTGCGACCTGTTGCCTAGCCACCCCGTGACAACCACTACTCACAGCGCAACACACGGATACACACTCACACACGCACATTCATACGCACGCACACACGCTTATACACACACACACACACGCATACATACACCCACACACATACACACAGTCACACACACAAGCAAAACACTCAACATCAATCACGTACACTCTTCACACACACACAAACACACACACAGGTACACAATCACACGCGTGCACAAACACGCAGCCATAGACATATATACCGTGCCTACAAAGACGTAATAATTCACATGTGTATAGATACATACACACACGTCGTATGTAAGAAACATACGACGTTACTTTGAGATACACACGTGCATGGATCTCAGACAAAGATAAACATCCCCCATATAGCCTCTACCAGACTGTAGGGGCAAGTGCTGGTCAGCGAGCACCTATGAAGGGCTGCCCGCGGGCACACGATGGGGTGGGTTGTCCCGCGTGCACGTACACAACGCTTAGTTGCGTAGATACACAACACACGGACAGCTCAGGGAGAAGGTTATTTATTGTTCATTCAGGTGAGAACCCTAGTTTCTTAACTCAGAGCGAACCAGGGGGTTACAATGGTAAACACAGACGCACGCACGGAGACGCATTGACACACAGAGACACAAAGATCGAACACGCACGCACGCACGCAGAGACACACACAGAACTCACACAATATAGGCACTGCATCGCACCATAGACATAACAGAAGCACACACACACACACAAAGACACACACACACACTCATTCTGTCACACCACCACCCACCCCAACCTCCACAGACCCCTCGCTCACCCCCCCACCCTCGCACCACCACCCCCGTCTCTTCCACCACCACCACCACCACCCCCCATCCCACCGCTTGTGTGACCGGGCTGAGTTGAGGCTGCTTTGTCAAAAGAGACTGGCGCAGACACATACATACATACACAGACAAACACACACACACACGCGATACGTACACACAGAGAGACACCCACATACTCACGAAGACTCGTAGAAACACACGCGCATAAACACACACACACGTACTTACGCCTTACGTGCACACACGCACATGCATAGTGTTGTCATCGGAGCGAGTCGCACGCACTCATATGCGCTTGAGTGCATCACACAGGCAGGCAGGCGCACGCTCTCGTGTCTATACACACAAACAGCGCCATGCGTACGCAGGCACGCACCATAGCACACACGCACACGTGTAACGCGTGCACGTGTTAGACACATAGCAGCAGACAGCACACACACACACGCACGCACCATAGCACACACACGCACACGTGTAACGCGTGCACGTGTTAGACACATAGCAGCAGGCAGCACACACACACGCACGCACCATAGCACACACACGCACACGTGTAACGCGTGCACGTGTTAGACACATAGCAGCAGACAGCACACACACACGCACCATAGCACACACGCACACGTGTAACGCGTGCACGTGTTAGACATAGCAGCAGACAGCACACACACGCACCCTAGCACACACGCACACGTGTAACGCGTGCACGTGTTAGACACATAGCAGCAGACAGCACACACACACACGCACGTGTAACGCGTGCACGTGTTAGACACATAGCAGCAGGCAGCGCACACACACGCACCCTAGCACACACGCACACGTACATCGCGTGCACGTGTTAGACACATAGCAGCAGGCAGCACACACACACACGCACACACGCACCCTAGCACACACGCACGCGTAATACGAGCTACGCACGCTCGTTGCGTGCACGTCGAGTACACAGGCGACGAGGAGCACGCACGCGCACGCATGCACCGACACGTCGACGAGCGCGCGCACGCACCACTCACGACGCACGCGCATCCACGTACACGCGCGTCTCAATGCACGCGCGCGTTGTGATATACGTGCAAGCGCGTGCACGTACGGGAGTACACAGACGTGAGTACCAAACATGCACTGCGCGTTTGTTATACTGTGCATACAAGTGACATACATGCAGGCACACAGAGACACACACACATTCACTCACATGTTGTGTCATACTCATGCAAGCACACAACAACAGCAGCAGCAACAACAACAACACACAACATAGACGAAGACAATCCTGCAAACATTTACACACACACATATATACACACACGTTCATAATCGTACAGGTTTAGGCTCATACCCGTACAAAGGCAAAGATCTCCCGTATAACCTTTTACAGACTCTTCGGACAAGTGCTGTTAGCGATGCATACACACAGACACGTGCCCACACACATAGTTCCATATACACATCACGCAGACAAACACGACCACGTACCCATCACCATACACAAACAGACACATTCCCATCACCACAAACACACACACACAGACATCCCCATACACACACACAGGTAGTCTCATATACATACCACACATTCACACACAAAGCCTCCAGCCACATACAGTCACCACGCAGACACACACAGACAGACAGACACAACTATACACCACTCAGTTCAGTAAGGTGAGACAGAGACATTGCCGGGGTGTTGCTGTTGCCTATAGCACGTGTGCTTGCTGCCTGTAGAAAACGTGGATTCTGTGAATATTAGGCTCCTGTGATTTTTTTTTTTGGGGGGGGGGAGGCGGATGGAATCTGTGATCCTGCAGTGCTTCCTATAGCGGACCCGTGCTAATGCCTGTAGTTGCCTGTAGGAGTTGTGGTTCTGCCACCTGTAGTAGCTGTGGTTCTGTCACCCGTAGGAGCTGTGGTTCTGCCGCCTGTAGTGGCTGTGGTTCTGCCGCCTGTAGTATCTGTGGTTCTGCCGCCTGTAGAGGCTGTGGTTCTGCCACCTGTAGAAGCTGTGGTTCTGCCACCCGTAGGAGCTGTGGTTCTGCCGCCTGTAGTGGCTGTGGTTCTGCCGCCTGTAGTAGCTGTGGTTCTGCCGCCTGTAGAGGCTGTGGTTCTGCCACCTGTAGAAGCTGTGGTTCTGCCACCCGTAGGAGCTGTGGTTCTGCCGCCTGTAGTGGCTGTGGTTCTGCCGCCTGTAGTATCTGTGGTTCTGCCACCTGTAGGGGCTGTGGTTCTGCCACCTGTAGTAGCTGTGGTTCTGCCACCCGTAAGAGCTGTGGTTCTGCCGCCTGTAGTGGCTGTGGTTCTGCCGCCTGTAGAGGCTGTGGTTCTGCCACCTGTAGAAGCTGTGGTTCTGCCGCCTGTAGGGGCTGTGGTTCTGCCGCCTGTAGGAGCTGTGGTTCTGCCACCTGTAGTAGCTGTGGTTCTGCCACCTGTAGAAGCTGTGGTTCTGCCGCCTGTAGAAGCTGTGGTTCTGCCGCCTGTAGGAGCTGTGGTTCTGCCACCTGTAGTAGCTGTGGTTCTGCCACCTGTAGAAGCTGTGGTTCTGCCGCCTGTAGAAGCTGTGGTTCTGCCGCCTGTAGGAGCTGTGGTTCTGCCACCTGTAGTAGCTGTGGTTCTGCCACCTGTAGAAGCTGTGGTTCTGCCGCCTGTAGGAGCTGTGGTTCTGCCACCTGTAGTAGCTGTGGTTCTGCCGCCTGTAGAAGCTGTGGTTCTGCCGCCTGTAGTAGCTGTGGTTCTGCCACCTGTAGGGGCTGTGGTTCTGCCACCTGTAGGAGCTGTGGTTCTGCCGCCTGTAGTGGCTGTGGTTCTGCCGCCTGTAGGGGCTGTGGTTCTGCCGCCTGTAGGAGCTGTGGTTCTGCCGCCTGTAGGGGCTGTGGTTCTGCCGCCTGTAGGAGCTGTGGTTCTGCCGCCTGTAGGGGCTGTGGTTCTGCCGCCTGTAGGAGCTGTAGTTCTGCCGCCTGTAGGGGCTGTGGTTCTGCCGCCTGTAGGAGCTGTAGTTCTGCCGCCTGTAGGAGCTGTGCTGGATGTGAATGCCGCCTGTAAGTGCTATGCTGGATGTTAATTTCCGTGCTCCCTGCTTCAGCTACCCACGCTGTTGGTGCCGCGTCCCGATCACTGGCGGGATGAGCGGGGACCTCGACCAGGGAGTTCTGCAGAGATACGCGATCCGCAAGAGACTCGGCAAAGGGGTGAGTGAGTGAGTGAGTCGCGTGTATGGGGAGCGGTGGCCTAGTGAGTAGCGCACTGCTCTGCGAACCTGGCGTCCCGAGTTCCAATCGCACTCACGGCCACCAACGCCGGTGACGATTATCTGAACAGGTGCTGGGCCTCCCCTAGGTCGACTCAGCCTCAAACGAGTACCTGGTGCGGTGGGCCACCGGGGAGACAAAGGTGGCCGGGCGTGGTGCTGGCCACCTGCTCGCTAAATGCTTTGTGGTATATGCGTGGTGAGTGTGATATGCATGTGATTGTTTATTTGTATTGTGATGTGTGTGTGTGATTGTCTTTGTGGAGTGAGTGCGATGTGGTAGTATGTTATAGTATCTGTAAGTGGGGTGATTGCTGTGGTGTCTGTGATTGGTGTGCACGTGTGTATGGAGAGGCGATACAGCGTGATTTGCGGTTAACGTTTTTCATGACAATCGGTGCGCGTGTGGTGTGGTTCTTGTGGCGTGGTAAGTGTGGTTGCTAGTGTGTATGTGATTGTACACGCGTGTAGTCAGTGTAATATGGAGAGTGAGCGTGTGTGTAACTCATTCAGTATTTCACAGTATCGGCTGACAGCCCACTGTGATGATATTAATTTTGCATGGGCGATCTTGTGACAGATGCAAATAACACGGGGAGCCACTGTGGTGAGGTGTCACTGTGTGCGCAGCGTGATTTGTGTCGGACTCTGTGGGCTTTATTTGCACAGTGACGGTGATACATTTAAAATTACAGATGATGGTAATGACGATAATTATTAAGCCGCCTTGATGATGATTGTAATGTGGGTGACCTCTACCCCTGTTGCTGCAGATGATGATACTGCTGCTGACTGATTCTGATTTTGATGATGATGCTTATGCTGTTGATAATGATGATCCGTATGATGCTGATGCTTTTGCTGGTGTTAATAATTATAATCACAATGTTTATATTTAAAATGGTCATGCCAATATTTTCCATCGTGGTGATGACGTAATAATGATGAAGATATGAGCAATTATGACCGTGATACTTTATAAAAAAAACACCTAAATCATCGTCAACCTTGATCTATCCACTGCTAGGTGAGATCACCTGAGCTGATCTAATTGCTTTATCTGAAAGTGCATGAAGCAACCTACAGGACCCCGTCCTCACCCCTATGACATTCGGCAACCCCGCAGCATTATTTGTATTCAACACTAAAACGTTGGGCCGGTTTTCATCATTTGGGCCTCATCAGCAGAGCAGAGTCAGTCTCGCGAAAGCACGCCCCTACCAAAACCAAAGGACGTGATGCTGCCAGCAACAATTGGTCAGTGGACGGGACAGAGGTCAATAGATATATATTTGATTACTGCGATAAAAAAATAACAATAAAAATAGCTTAACACTTTCCGTTAAAAACCCTGTGTGTGCGCGTGTGTGGCCTTATAAGGGGACCAAATGTATAATTTGTGACGTTTTGGGCAATGTACCTTCTTTATAGCACATGGCCATAAAATGTCGCTGCCATATACGACGAGCTGTGGGAAAAATATATCCTGGTGGTCAATGTGAATGGCTTTGGCATACTTGTCAACTCCTTATCAGTGCCCCTACCTTATTACAGACCAATTTAGACCTTAGTGGACACCCCGTGCCTCCATAGTCCCATCACAAAGGCAGAAACACAAACAAATAGACAAAAACACATTTTTTTTTTGCCCGTATTGAAACGGTTGTATGCCGTATGGACCTTAAAAACTAAATTTCCCCGTACAAGAATATGGGCTAATCCGTATGGGTTGACGCGGTCTTCTTTGGCAAAAAGCGTATCTCCGAGTCCGCTTCTCGTTTTGAAATGTGCAAAAAAATGTATCTCTACCCCCTCCCCCCCCATGCAAGCTCAGTCAGTATTACTTGGGGTTTCCCAGACTCCATTCCTCGCGAACCCCGCACGGCCAGCACGCTGCGTCTGTCAGCGTTTACCAATGTACCCCTTCAACCTTTTAAATTAACTCGTTGTAACGCCGCACGCGCCCGATGATTGTTAAACACGTCAAAATAATGTTTAGGCTATACGGGGTGGGGGGGGGGGATATTTAGCTTTGTATATGTGTTTGCACGTGTTTCGTGTGTGTGTACACGTGTTCCGTGTGTGTGTACACGTGTTCCGTGTGTGTGTTTGCACGTGTTCCGTGTGTGTGTACACGTGTTCCGTGTGTGTGTACACGTGCTCCGTGTGTGTGTGTACACGTGTTCCGTGTGTGTGTACACGTGCTCCGCGTGTGCGTCCATCTACACGTGTTCAACGCGACGCACATGGCGTCAGTTGCTTACTACGTCGCGTGGGACGTGTTTAACAATCATCGGGCGTGTGCAGCGTGGAAGGAGTTAATTTGAATGGGGAGTTGTAAATTGGGAGTGTGGTGGTGGTGGTAGGGTCGCGAGGATTTGAGTTTGTGAAACGCTGGTGTAACCGTTCCATTTTTTTGCAAAAACATTATTTGGCGAGGCTGCTGCGCTAACAGTGGTGCACAATTAATAAACAACAACAACAGAAAACCTCAACACAGGCCGTCAATAGCACCACTTGTGCGTGGCCTTAAAAGGGAACAAAAATTGGCGACGTTTCGGGGGGGGAGGGATTTTTTTGTTACCATTCTCCATAGCACATGAATGCAAATATCTTTTGAAATTATTATTCTTCACACAGATATTGAGATGGCACGATGACATCATTCACGAGACCGCGAAATATAGCGAAGGGTTGGGATCCTGCCTCCAATCCCAGCAGTGGATTGATCGTGGCCGATATGATCATACGATCGCCAAAGGTTTACGAAGATCATAATTAGAATGCGAAACACGTGCATTGGAGAACATAGGCTGGGGGTTAACTGACACCGTCTAAGCAACCATTGGAAAGATGTTCTAAATCGAACTAAACATTAAACTAATTTTCAATGGTACAGTATATTTTTCAAGTAGTGGTACCGCAAACTTTCCCAGCTCTTAAAAATTCCCTTTTCACACCATCAATAGGTAAACTCCCCCTCACGCCAAACGGCAAGTCCACCGGCACGTACACCACCTCTATGCTAAGTCGGCCAATCAAATGCTATTTTTTATGCTAATTCCTTTGTCAAGGCACCTTGTTTCCTCGCACACAGCTTAAAGGTCCGCGGTCTGAGCGTGACTGTGTTTCACTCCAGCGCTGTCCTCGAGACAGCCTGATCCCTTCACCTGATGAAGGCCGCTTGTGTTGTGGCCGAAACGTCGTGATTTTTGTTGTTTTATTTTTTTTACCTACGTGACTTTTAGCCGAATAGAGCCAAAGAGTACCGTCTAAGCTGTCGAGAAGAGTGTGCTCGAACAGAGCTGGAAGGGGAACGATGGTGGTCAAGAAAAATCACGGAGGAGCAGCCAAAGCATGGAGTGTATGGCAACGCGCCCCAGAGGACGTAAGGTCGCGGAGATGGAGCGACAAAAGCAATCCATGTGCACGTGCCGGGCAGGCGATTACGTCGCAGAAGTTGGTGGTGGCTTGGAGGCAGACGGGCATAGCATCCAGCAGTGGATTGATCATGGCTGGCTGATGACATTGATCATCATCTCTAGCAGCAGTACTTAATACATAAGCGAGACAATACGACCTCCTTCCCATATTTGTCCCTCCAAATTCAATAAAAAAATATATACATCTCGACTTAAAGCTTTCGTGACTGCAGGAATTCGTATTCTTTGGGTCTTTCGGTAAATTCACGTGGATAGGTTCAAAGGAAATAACGAAAAAAATAAACTACGACGTTTCGATCACAACCACAAGCGATCGTCCTCCTCCTGAACCTATCTACGTGACATTACCGAAAACACCAAATAATATAAAAAACCCACACACGACCTTTTTTTTTTTTACACATCCCATTATTATTCCACGCGGCACTTTTTGGGCGCGCACAATTAACACCGATTGGCAATTGCGTTCAAAACAAGCAAACCGTGGACCGGTTTTCGACATTCAGCAGTCTCGTCGGCACAGAGTGAGAGAGAGAGACACGGGCTTCCTTGACCCAGCAGCAGCAGCACCAACAGCGGCAGCTGTAGCAGCTTTTTGCCCTCCTCGTGTTCCCTGTGTCAAGTCTACGGAGGCGGCAGACGGAGAGAGAGAGAGAGGGGGCGCCCCATGCGAGCGATGCCCGTATCCGTGGCCGTGAGAGGCGGTCGGTGCGGGTAGCTGGGTGGGTGGGGGAGCGTGGATGGTTTGCGGTGGTGATGATGGTGGGAGACGTGAACAACGCTTCTGTTTACCTGGCAACGGAGTAAACATTTTACAGTCGGCAACACGGAAGTTTCGCTCTGAGCCTAATGGAGCCAGAGACCCTGTTCCACTGGGGAGACGTGAAACTACACACAACTGACTGACACACACATACATACACACACGTACCGTATATATTATACAATATACGCGCGCATTAATATATATAAGCGCACACATGTATGCACACGCAAGAGGCAAGGCAGCTGCTGTGATGTAATGGTTATCGAGCAAGGACTTGCAATTGAGTAGGCAAGCCGGTTCGATCTCCGGGTGTGGCAGCTTAGGCAATTGCAAGTTTATTTTCTCTATATCTCTCTAAATTCCCACCCCACACCGCCCCCTGCACTCAGACGTTAATATGGCTGAAGTGTGGGTAACTTCCACCTCTTTCTAGGACGTATGGAAGAGTTATACCTCTGCTCTAGAGCTTTCCTCTAGTGGAAGCTCTTCCGCCAGCAGTGGCGTGAGAGCAAGCTATTGCAGGGCTGCGCCTTTATCTTTCACGTACATTCAGACGCATCGTCCACGTGTTTTATTGGCACGTGTTATTTGTGTGCATTATTGATGGACTTTTATCAGTCCACTGCTGGATGAAGACCTCCCCACGCCGTGTCGGCCACTGCAGTTGTTTGGGGCCGTCCATAAATGACGTCACGCAACTAGAGGGTGGGGGGGGGGGGTCAGACATTTGTGACGATGTGTGACGAGGGAAGGGGGGTGTGTTGGGAAATGTGACGTCACATCAAATTGCGCAACTTTAAATAAATATAAACAACACGTTCTACTTAATTAAATATACTTTTTAGTAAATGTTTTCTCCTACAACATCATCAGAGTGCAGCGGCACATTAAATACGCACTACAATGACGATAGTTTAAAGCGACTTGAATCATGTTTTATTTTTTGGGGGGGGGGGGGCAGAGCTTTATGACGTCATATTTAAGGGGGGTCTGACTTCTTGTGACGTCGTGTGACGACGGGGGGAGGGGGGGTCAAAAATAGTCCAAAATCGCGTGACGTCATTTATGGACGGCCCCTTTGACCATACTTCACCACGCTGGGGGGAGGTGGAGGAGGGCACACACCGATTGAGATATCGCTCGCTGGTGATGTTTATTTATTGTAGCCGTGAATGGGAAACCAACTCGCTCGGGTCGCCGGGTTCATAGCTCAGTGCGCGAACAACTACACGCCACCGCACTCCATAGATACACAACACACGCAATTAAACACACTCAGAGGCATATGCACACAGATTGGTGGGGTGGTTATGGTGATGTGTATTGTGGTATTTCTTTGGTGTAGAGTGCGGTCCCGCAGTGTATACTATGTATGTACTATGAAGAAGGGCCATAGCCCGAAACGTCGCCTATTACAATATAAAAGCCAATGCAGTGTTCACCAAATCATTTGTATTGGGGGGTACGGTGGTGGGTGGGTCGTGGTGTGTGTGGATGGGTGGAGCGGTGGGTCAGTGGTTAGCGCACTTACGTTTCTAACCCGGCGTTCTAGGTTCGATTCCCGGCCTGGGACTCCACTAGGTCAACACAACCCTTAAATGAGTACTTAGTACGGTGTGTAAACGTCAGTAGTGGAGAGACAAAGGCCACCTTCATCGGAGTTACTCGTTATCAGCACTTGCCCGCCAATCCGTTAAGGCTGCACGGGGTATCTTTGTCTCTTTGTTTGTATGTTTACGTGCATATGGACAGACGTTTTCAGGGTATTGTGTGCAATTTCATAATGGTGTTGTTTTGCATTTGGCTCCATACGATACGCTTCTATTGCAGATTACCAACATGTTGTTGTGGTTCGTTGCAAATCTATGACTCGGGTCACCCTTCAAAAGGAGAACTCAAAAGTTTTACAAAATAACGTCAATCTATCCATCGATAGATCGTGATATGCGTGTAAGTACATGTGGGCACCACGGTGGTGAGATGTTATCTCCCTCGCCTGGTATACACCAGGTCATGGGTTCGATCCTGACCCTGATGCCTGCTGTATATTTGGAGTTTGTTCTCTCTGTGGTTGCGTGGATTTTTATCCGGGTCCTCTGGTTTTGTACTCCACATTTAGAATCATCACGCGTTTAGAGTATTTGGCTGTTATAAATAACCACACGATAAGCCACTTCGTTGAGCTATCATTTGTGACCAGGTCGCTTCTGAAAAAAGAGCTATAAGTTCAGTGGGCCTTACCTGGTAATAAAAAAAATTACTTGAGTAGTTGTTTTAAGTGATTATTCTATTATATTCTTGTGCGTGGCAGAAATGTGATTCAAGATCTCCATGCCAGTGTTGAGGTCTGCTGCTGCTTCAGCATAGACAGCGTTCATGTCGCTGTCCCTCTGTTGATTGAGCGAAGACCACAGTGGGTTGTTTTACTTCTGTGGTCCATAGTTTGCGTTGCGTGGCCACAATTGCTCAACTGTGGCTTGTCTTCAATATATCCCTAAGGGCCTCTATGGGTCTCTATGAGTCTCTATGAGTCTCTTTGTATCTGTGTGGGCCTCTACGTACCTCTACGTGATTCTGTGGGTTTCCTATATTGGCCCATAGTTTGGCTTGCATTGCCACAGTCTCACTACTGTGGCAGGGTTGGCTAAGTATTGTGCGCAATAAGTTTAACATACATACATTGTGTCTGTTTTTTTATGTGTGAAGGAGGTGTGCGCATTGGCCTGTTGACGATACTGATGATGCGGTTGATGGTAATTTATTGTTTTGATGCATGTGCATGCATAATACAGTAATGTATTATATTATATTGGGAGGTTATGGTAATGTTGTTCTGTGTGTACGTACAGAATGTCGTGTGTTTATGTATAGTGTGTGTGTGTAAGTCGACTTAGCCTCAAATGAGTACCTGGTGCGATGTGTAAACATCGCCACTTGGGAGACAAAAACAGCCAGGCGTGGTGATGGCCATCCACCCTTTCGTGTGCCGTACCAGCCTTTTATAACAGCACTTTCCCCAAAAGTATGTTACGGATATACGGGGGTTCTTTGTCTTTGTGTGTATGTACAACGATACCCACTACGGACAATCCCATTAAGATCGAACGACTCCCTCCCCCTGCACCACTTTCCCAAGGGTACACCCACCTCTTCCGATATGCCGAGTGAACGTGAAAGAGTAGATCAAGTACCCTCGAGAGCTCGCTCGAGTGGAGGCAATTGCAGGGCTGCACCTTTGCCTGCCAACGAACACGTGCCCCCAAAACATCACGTGGTTCTCATTCGTTCTCTGTGAACGAGAGCACAAAACACCGGGGATTCCTTCGCTTTAAATACATCATTGGTTTTTACTCTCCCATCTCAATGGCACGATTCGATGCAAAACCGTAGATTCTCAGCGTTCATTTGAGGTTAAATTTGCATGTGAGTCGCATACTGTTGTCTGATCGCACGACTATCGTGTTTTTGTATTGTTTGTTGTTGTTGTAAAGATTTTACCCGCCCCGACTGGGCATGTGAAAAATTGCTTTATAGCTCATCGGATTCCTCCAGTATAAATTATTCTGATTGCATGCTAAGAGCAAATAGTCATCCGCTACATATGTTTGCTGTGTCCGTGACTTCATTTGTAATTGTGGTGTGATAAGTCTATAGGGTTCATCTACCCGGGCCGATTTGCGGCACACGGAATGTCGTTTTTTGGCATTGATTTGTGTTCCTGCAATACCGTATTTTCATTGCCTCCTGTGCTGCAGCAGTTGTTGTTGTTGTTCAGATTTACGTTTGCTTCCTTGCTTCGTCCCTTTATTTTGTTTGTTTGGCTTCTGTCATTTCGATGCGTAAAGGCCGCCCTCGCAATGCTAGCCCCGGTGACTTGATGAGTTTTCCCAGCTTGGTTCAACAAAATAATCTTGAGACACTTGAACGGCACGCGGCTGTCCGGGGGCTCGCGTCACCCACCGGGGGCATTGAAAATTGTCGTGCAGAACAGTGGCCGGTGGGGGGGGTCCGATAAGCCGAATTGTCAGCTGAAAAGGTCGTGTATCCCCCGTCGTCAGATGTAATTTGCGTAAACGGCCACCATAGATTCCCAAATTACTTCTCGTTCATTTCAATGGTTTTAAGGGCCTGGATAATTGTACACACACAATGCAGATTAGCTGATTGTTATGTACATGTGGAGATGATTACCGTGTGCGTATCGGTTGGTTGCTGAAGGGTTAGGGTAAGAGTGGTGTGTGTGTGTGTGTACGCATCGCTTTTTTGTATTGTGGTGTGTGTGCACCAAAAGTCTGTTAAAGCTATAAGGGGGATCTTTGTTTTTGTGTAAATATATGGGGAGCGGTGACGCAGTGGTTAGCACACTAATACTAACCACCGCGCACCCTGCGACGTGAGTTCTTTTTTTTTCTACTCACGGCCAACACCATTGACGATTATCTGAGCCGGTGCTAAGCCTCCCCAAGGTTGCCTCAGTCACAAATTAGTTCCTGGTGTGGTGTATAAACATCGCCAGTGGGGAGACAAAGGCGGCCGGGCGTGGGCTGGCCATCCACTCCCTCGTGTGCCGTGTTGCCTTCAAAGGTGCTCACTAACAACACTTGCCACGAAAGTCTGTTAAGGCTATGCGTGGAATCTTTGTCTTTGCCTTGACGTCTATGAGTGTAGGCCTACGGGATTGGGTGGAAGTGTCATGAAAAGAGTCGTGTGTTTGTGTAGCCTGTATAAATGTATGGAGGTGTGTAATACGATGTGTGTGTGTGATGTCTGTGTGCGTGTAGGCCTATGGGATTGTGTGGAAGGCCATCGACCGCACGACTGAGGAAGTGGTCGCCATCAAGAAAATTTTCGACGCATTCCGCAACCGTACGGACGCACAGGCAAGCCGAATCACCGCACAACCGCAGCGTCGCCAGCCAGGGGCAATCCGCTATTGGATGAAGGCTTCCCCAAGCCAACGCCAACACCTCTCGCGCTATTGCGATGCCACAACTCAGTAAAACTGCAACGTTGATCCAACGTTGACCTAACGTTCCATTTTTACTGGGAATCCACCTCGCACCTGCAACTGGATTATCGCAAACCCAAAGAGCTTCAATTCCATTTCTCTTCAACTCTTCCATTTATAACAAGATTGTCTCAAACTTGCTCATCTGTAATTTGATTATCCGACGATCTCCAACTCACTTATCAAAAAACAGATTATAAGAGACTCGATTATGCAAAACTGAATGATATGATTTGCCGTAAAGTCCTATTCCAACTTGATTCATGAGCTCAGCCATCTGAAATTCATTCCGCTACTGAATAATCTGAGACTCAATTATTTGCAATTCGGTATCGAAAACTCGATTTTGAAACATTTGATTTGTCAATACTCAGTCATTTGAAATTCAATTATTTGTCACTCAATTTTCCTAACACTCGATTTCCCCCATCATTGATTAGGAACGTGATTATCTGTGGTATGAATATTGAAAACTCGATTACTGGCGACTGTGTTACCAAAATCTAAAGTTTTACAATTGATCAAAGGTAAAATCTGCAGGCTTTAATTTGCAGCTGGGTTTCTCCGGCTCGGCATACAACATCCAGTCTACCCCTCGCTACAGCTGTGACTTATAGACATTCCTACTCCACCCTACCAGCGACCGGATTAAATATTATTTTCAGAATTTAAGACCCGATTATGAGAAAGTTCACAAATAACCGGTAACTCACATTTGAAACCTGAACACAAAATGAGATTTGATAATAATTTTGGTCAATTTGTAATGGATAAAGTATGGTGGTATGAGTGTTTAGAGATGTGCGTATCTGTAAGGTGGCGTGTGTAGAATGTATGTTGTGTATATTTTTAATCATGCGTGCACGTGCGCGTGTGTGGCTTTATTTTTCTTTCCAGAGAACATTTCGAGAAGTCATGTTTTTAAAGGTGAGCTACTTTAAAGTGTTTTTTTTCATCGTAACTATCATCATCCCTGTTATCATGGTAATCATCATTTCATCGTTGTGATCATCAGTTTCACCCTAATCATCATTGATATTCTCATCATATCATCATTAGTATTATTATTATCAACATCATCATCCCTCCAAAGCCAACAGTGGTCATCTTATAGATAGCCTGGTCTTTCTCATGAGAATGTGGAATGTCCACCACTGGCTCATTTCTTGCAACAGAGCTGAGCACTGCTCCGCACCCATTTGAGCTTCGGTTTTGAACGACCAATTAATTAGTTATATATATTTCGGTTATGCTGATGCACAAGCACAATTAATAATTTTAAAAAAACTTATTAGTTATAATAGGTGACATTTCGAACAATGGCCCTTCTTACACGGTACGAATTTTGGTGACTTAATTATGATTCTTCAACTCTAAGATTCGCAATCGATGACTTTCCTCGGTCTCCCTGTCACCAGGAGTTTGACCACCCCAACATCGTGAAGCTCAAGAACATCATCCGGGCGGACAACGACCGTGACATCTATCTCATCTTCGAGTTCATGGGTTCGTCCCTCGTGACTCCACAACCTCCTCCTCCTCCTGCCACAATGACAAAGCTCCCCACCCTCCCACCGCCCCTGCCCCCTGGTGTAGCCTACACAGACTTTCAGGCCAAGTGCTGCTAGCGAGCTCTCTTTTATGAAGGCCGGCCCAGCCCACGACATTTACACACCACGCCAGGAGCTGATTTGAGGCCGAGTCGAACCCATGCACCGGTTCAGATGTTTGCCACTGATGTTAGCCAAGGGCAGTATTCAAACTCGGGTCGCACAGACGCTGCATGTATACTCCCACAAGCACGACGAAGATGCAACTCGCACCGAGCACGGCTGCCTTCGTCTCCCCAGAGCGGAAGTTTTACACACCACACCAGGTGTTAATTTAATGCCGATTCGACCTTGGGGAAGACCAGGGTCAGTTCAAATTGTCATCACTGATCCTCGGCCGTAAGCAGGAACTTGGATCACGCACCAGGTGTGTAGCGCAGTGCGCTGACCACTACATTACCTCTCCACCAGACTACTCGTCCTACCATTTGCACATGGCAACACTCTCGTGCCTGGGATTGAATCTCCCGGACTGTGACCAATCTTGATGGATCTCACGAGCTCAGCCCGATTTGTAGAACTTTGTAGATACCCAGGGCGCAAGGTTCAGTGTGGGCGTCTCACTTTCTGGGAGCTTCATGCAATCCGGAGAAGTGTGAGATTAAATTATTATTTCCCACGCACTCCTTCCCATGCGATCATTCCAGTGGCCTAGTAACTACATTGTCAGTTCAGGGGATGCGGCAATCGGTCAGGTGCATTCATTCCCTACCATCGTCAGTCAGATAGCCATTTCCCCTGCATTAAATTTCGTTTCCATTCCTTTTAATTCATCTGCGCATCCTTAAATTCTCCTTTATTCATTCCCGACCATCAGCTGTCGGATTGTCAATTCCACCGCTTTCAATTTTCCTTTCGTTCCATTCCGTTCGTCTGTACATCCTTCAATTATCCTGCTTCCCCTACCATCATCCATCAGATTGTCAATTCCCTTGCATTCATTCCCGTCCACCCCTTCTGTCTGTCTGTTCGTAAATTCCCCTGCATTTATTTTTTCAGTTTAACAGGTAGGCTTTTGCGACCAATATTATCCATAAGAAAAGGTTTTTTGGGTTGGATCACGTAAATTTTGTCGTTAAACCCGCCACAGCCAATTAGTAAGGGTTGTTACATAAACAAAACGTGCCAATTAGTTACTGGTTGAACACATCAGCGTATTGGAGAATAAACCTACAACATTTGCAATTCGCGTATGACGTTTCGCTGTGTGATTACAACCAGCCTCGTCAACTTTGGGTTCATGGGTTAGTCCCTCGTGACTCCGCAAGTCTTGCATTAATCAATTAATTAATTCGTCCTTCCCATCCGCGTGTCACTGCAGACACGGACCTGCACGCCGTGATCAGGAAGGGGCGCATCCTCAAGGACATCCACAAGCGCTATATCATGTACCAGCTGCTCAAGGCCACCAAGTACATCCACTCCGGCAACGTCATCCACCGCGACCACAAGGTCTCGTGGCGCACCTAGCCTGGCGCGGGAGTCACGGCGACATCGCCCGCCGTTGAATCGGAGCCAGGGTGGCTGCTCTTGTTGTTGCCGTCTTTGACGTTGTGCGTGCGCGCGCGTGCATGCATGCGTTGCTCGCTAAAAGCACACGCCCGGAAAAGTCTGTTTGAGGCTATATAGGGGATCTTCGTCTTTGTGGCAGAGCGCTAGTGTGTAGCGTTCAGCGCGCTGAGCTACGAACCTAGTGACGCCAGGTCGATTCCCGCTCACGGCTAACACCAAGTGACGAATATCTGAACCGGTCCTGGGCCTCCCCTAGTTCGACTCAGCCTCAAATGAGTACCTGGTGCGGCGTGTAAACATCGCCATAGGGGATACAACGACAGTCGGGCGTGGTGCTGCCCTCTCTCGTGTGCCTTGCCGGCCTTCATAGGTGTTCGCTTGCGGCACTTTCCCCAACAGTCTATTCCAGGCTATATTTGTGTGGGTGAGTGAGTGCGTGAGTAGGTGGGTGAGTGGGTTGGTATGCGAGTGGGTAAGTGAACGGGTGAGCAGGCGGGCGGGCGCGTTGGCGCGCAAAGTGAACAGGTAGTGGGTGAACAGGTGAGTGAGCGTGCGTGCGGGTGTGCAGCCAGACGCCTTTCCTCCTTTCGCCCTCCCTCAACGCCGTAGAGAGTCCGCTCTCTCAAGCCGTCCCGTTGGGTCACGGAGGCGCGGCGTTTCAAGCGTAACTCGCCGGTGCCGCAAGCGTAACTCGCCGGTGCCGTGTGCCCTCCGCAGCCGTCGAACGTGCTGCTGAACAGCGAGTGCGTGGTGAAGGTGTGCGACTTTGGGCTCGCTCGCTCCGTCGGACCGCTCGCCATGGAGGGCGGCGCGGGCAGCAGCGGCGTCGGAGGAGGAGGAGGAGGAAGAGGAGGAGTGAGGGGCGACCCGGCGCTCACCGAATGCGTCGCCACGCGCTGGTACCGCGCGCCCGAGATTCTGCTCTCAACGCCCAGGTGAGACGGGGCACGCGCGAACGCACGCACGCACGCACGCGCGTTGGTCTTGCCGCGGAGGAGGCGGTACAGCAAGCGTGGACTCCAGCTGTGCAACGCGGACGGGATAGAGTGCGGCCCCTTTCGCACGCTGTCCGTCTTGTGCGGGTGCTCCGGTTTCCTCCTGTGACGCAAAACACTCATTAATTGGGTGCCACGGTGGCGAGATGTTAACTACCTCGCCTGGTGTACAGGAGGTTGAGGGTTCCATCCCGACCCGGACGCCTGCTGCTGTATGTTTGGAGTTTACGGTGTCTCTCTCTCTCTCTGTGGTCGCGTGGATTTTTCTCCGGGTCCTCCGGTTGTTCCCTCCACATTTGGAATCAACATCACCCACGCGTTTAGAGTGTTTGGGTGCAATAAATTTCCACGCGATAAGCCACTTCGTGAAAGCTATCATTTGTGGCCATGTCGCTTCTGAAAAACAGCTGTGTAGCTCAGTGCGCCTTACGTGGTAAAAAAAAATAGTTCAGTTTTAGTTTAATTGGTCAATGACACCTTAATATATAGAGGACCGCATGGCTGGTCTCCTCCGCTCGTATTTTATTCGTCCTCCTGGTGCCTCTGAGTCGTCCTCTCTCTGCGAGGGCGAGCGAATAGCTGTGCGGCTCTTTCCAAGTTTAAATAATTGAATGCGCAGCGTGTGCGATATGAGCCTAATGGGTCTGTCTATATTCAAGTAAGTTTGAAATCTCCCTAATTGATCGAGCAGAACACATTTTTTGGCGATGCTGCTGCTGCTGCTGCGTTGGCAGTGGTCCATACGCAAAATAACAAATCAACACATTCGGGGCAGTGTCAGCAATACTTGACCACTACAGTCGTACAAAAAAACACATCTATAATAGGCGACGTTTCGGGCAATGCCCCACCCCCACGTAACGTAGAGAATCCGGAGAGGTACAATTGTTGATTTTTTTTTTACTTCTTCTTGAATATAAAAACAAATGAAGGAGGCATCATTCCACGATGGAGCCGTTTCATGCTTCTGCACATTCCCTGCTATGAGAGAGATCAATCACAAGACAGTGACATTGACAGATAAAAGAGCAGCTGACAAGAAGAAGCATGCGGAGGTGAATGCTTGGAATTGCACCGAGACACGGGGTGAATGCGCGTGTGTGTAGTGTGTTTGTGTGTGTGTGTATGTATGTAGGTGCTCGCTCACAGCACTTGCCCCAACAGTCTGTTAAGGCTACACGGGGAGATCTTTGTCTTTGTGTAACTGCATTAAGTTCGATTCCCGCTCACGGCCAACTTCGGCGATGGATGTATGAACCGGTCCAGGGCGCTCCCTAAGGTCGACTCAGCCTTAAATGGGAACCGTAGCTCGATGCGGTGTGTTAAACATCAGGCACTGGGGGAGACAAAGGTGGCCGTGCGTGGCGTTAGCCACTCCAACCCCCATCGCGTGCCGTGCTAGCATTCATAGGTGCCGGATAAGAGCACTTGCCCTAACAGCCAGTGTAGGCTGCACGGGGGATCTTTGCCTGTGTGTCTGTGTGTGTGTGCATCTGTATCATGTATGACCACGTGTGCGTACGTGATTCTGCGTGTTAAGTATAACTGTTATTTGCGTATCTCTATGTATGCACACGCAAAGTTTGTTTGCTATGTGTTTATGTGTATATGTATGTATGTATGCGTAATATGTATCTGTGTTGTAAGTATGACTGTGTGTGTGTATCTCTGTATGGACGTGTATCTGTTTTCTATGTGTTTGTGTGTATGTGTATCTGTGTATGCCTCTGTTGTATGTGTATGTGTGTGCGTATCTCTATGTATGCACGTGTATGTTTGTTATGTGTGTGTGTGTGATGTGTAATAATAACACTTTAATAACCCTAGCAACTCGCTTGTGTGTTTACATAGCGACCGCCAGAAACACGCGTGAGTGCGTGAGAGTGGCGACGCCTCTCTGACAATCACCATCATCACCAGCCACCCTCACCAGTAGTGCAGCTACTACCACCACCACCACTGGCACCACTATAGTACTATTACTACTGTCATCACGACAGTACTACTACCACCACCACTGTCACCACTATAGTACTATTACTACTGTCATCACGACAGTACTACTACCACCACCACTGTCACCACTATAGTACTATTACTACTGTCATCACGACAGTACTATAGCTACTGTCATCACTATAGTACTATAGCTACTGTCATCACTACAGTACTACTACCACTGTCATCACTATAGTACTACTGTCATCACTACAGTACTACTACCACCACCACTGTCACCACTATAGTACTATAGCTACTGTCATCACGACAGTACTACTACCACCACCACTGTCATCACTATAGTACTATTACTACTGTCATCACTATAGTACTACTACCACCACCACTGTCACCACTATAGTACTACTGATACTGTCATCACGACAGTACTACTACTACTACTGTCATCACTATAGTACTACTACCACCACCACTGTCATCACTATATTACTATTACTACAGTCATCACGACAGTACTATTACTACTGTCATCACGACAGTACTACTACCACCACCACTGTCATCACTATAGTACTATTACTACTGTCATCACTATAGTACTACTACCACCACAACTGTCATCACTATAGTACTATTACTACTGTCATCACGACAGTACTATTACTACTGTCATCACGACAGTACTATTACTACTGTTATCACGACAGTACTACTACCACCACCACTGTCATCACTATAGTACTATTACTACTGTCATCACTATAGTACTATTGCTACTGTTATCACTACAGTACTATTGCTACTGTCATCACTATAGTAGTATTACTACTGTCATCACTATAGTACTATTTCTACTGTCATCACTATAGTAGTATAACTACTGTCATCACTATAGTACTATAGCTACTGTCATCACTACAGTACTATAGCTACTGTCATTACTACAGTACTATTGCTACTGTCATCACTATAGTACTATTACTACTGTCACCACTACAGTGCTATTGCTACTGTTACCACTACAGTACTATTGCTACTGTTACCACTACAGTACTATTGCTACTGTCACCACTACGGTACTATTTCTACTGTCATCACTACAGTACTATTGCTACTGTCATCACTACAGTACTATTGCTACTGTTACCACTACAGTACTATTGCTACTGTCATCACTACAGTACTATTGCTACTGTTATCACTACAGTAATATTGATACTGTTACCACTGCAGTACTATTTCTACTGTTATCACTACAGTACTATTGCTACTGTCACCATCCAGCACCACTGCTACTGTCACCACTGTAGTCTTACTGCTGCCATTACTACAATACTACTTTCATCATTGCAGTACTACTGGCATTACTACAGTAATACTATAACTACAGTACTATCATCGCTACATTGCTACTACTATCATTACTACGGTATTGCTACTGTCATCACTGCAGTGCTGCTACTAACATTACTACAGTACCACGACTGGCATTACTGCAGTACGGATGCTGTCATCACTGCAGTATTACTGTCATCACTGCCGTGTTTCAAATCTGCCTTGTGCTCGCGAATACGGTCTGATATATGACGTTTCGTTTCCCCAATATAACAGTCCCCACACGTGCAACTCAGTTTGTAGACTCCAGGGTAAACTGTAAGTCAGGGATGACATCCTTTACGGATGGGATCAGATCACGGATTTTGTGTACTGTACTGAATCGGACCTGGATCTTGTGTTTGTTTAAGATTTTGGGAATCTTTTTGGTAACGCCTGCTATGTATGGTAACGTGATGGTTTTGATCGGAGTCTCAGGGGGTTGTTTCTCGATGGTTGGAGAGACAGCTTTTTGGATAATACGGTCTGTATATCCATTCATCTTAAGGGTCCGGTATACATGTTCCAATTCACTGGCCAGGTGGTGTTGGTAGGAAATGCAGTGGGCCCTATGGTGTAGTGTTTTGTGCCGGATGTTGGTGGGAATCAGGTTTTAGATAGGAATCTGTGTGGGTGGCCTTTCTGTAGACAATGTCACAAAGAGCCTTTGGGCCTCCTCTCAAACAGACCACCCAAGAATGGTAGCTTGCCATCATTCTCCACTTCCATGGTGAATTTGACGGACGGGTGTATGGAGTTAATGTGGTCGAGAAATTGGTTAAATGCTGGCCGGCCATGTGGCCAAATGACGAAAGTGTCATCCACATATCTCTTCCACAGGGAAGGACGCAGGGTGGATGTCTGGATGGCGTCTGTTTCAAATTTCTCCATTAAAACATTGGCTATCACTGGTGACAAGGGGGGACCCATGGGGGTACCCTAATTTTGTTTGTAGAAAGTACCATTCCAGGTGAAGTACGTGTTGGTCAGGCAGTGCCTAACTAGCGCAGGGACTTCAGGGTTCAGTCCATGTTGGACTAAGTCTTCAATTATTGCTATGGTGACAGGCACTGGGACCTTGGTGAAAAGAGAGCCCACATCAAAGCTGGCGAGGATATCATCAGGGGACAGTGAAATGCCCTTGATTATAGAGACAAAGTGAGTTGAATTAAGTACTGCTGAAGTGGTCTTGCCAGTAAAGGGAAGCAAAATATCCGATAGGAAACGGGCCAGTTTGTAGGTAGGTGAGTTGATCGTGGACACGATGGGCCGCAGTGGGGCACCTTCTTTATGGATCTTGGGAAGACCATAGAATCTGGGTGGTCTAGCAGCCAAGGGTTTCAGGGAGAGCCGTTTGACTGGTTCGATTAGAGAAGTCGAACTGGTAATGATCTTGTTGGTTGTTGTAGTTAAGATGTTAGTAGGGTCTCTATTGATTTTGGAGTAGCTGCCATCATTGAGTAGGCCCTGGATTTTGTTGTTGTATGTGGTTGTATCCATGATGACAGTGGCATTGCCCTTGTCGGCCGAGAGGATGACAATATCATCCCTCTTTTTCAAATTTGCGAGTTCAGAACGCTCGTCTTTGCTGATGTTGCAAATGG